CGCAAGGCTATATTATCCGCATTTTACAACATTTCGCAACGAAACTTTGGAATATTACTAATTTTGTGATGCTCTTTCAAGCTGTGATGAAATTTTGTCTAGACTTGTTTAGATCAAAATTTAGTCTATAATGCAAATGGTCCATTGGTTATAATTTCGTCGCAATCGCATGCAAGAAGAACACTTCAAGGTTGATTCTACTAGCTAAGACTACTAAATACCGCAGATCTTCGCCAAGCTTAAGTATTCAACCAGATTCAGCACTCCAATTTAAAGACGATGCATGTGAAGGAGGCTAATGGATTGTAAAATAACTCTTTCTAGGGGGAACTTGGGGTGCGTTACCATACTCTGGACGTCTTTATAATATGGACAACCATCAAAGGAAACTTGTGGGCGCATGGTGTGCCGATCCTAATAGAGGCAAGGACTCGTGGTTCCAAGTGAACCTTAGGGGACGTAAAAGGATCACTGGTGTCGTTACACAAGGTAAATGGGGGAGGGTGGGGGAGGGTGAAGTGGAAACACTGTAAACTCTTGCTAGCTCGCTCCCAATAACTTCGTCACTCCTCGCTTGACTTGGACCTAATTTTTTATGTCTTCTCCTGCAGGACGTGATGTGTATTTTGAACATGTGAAAACATACGAGATTGAGTATAGCGATGAATCGACTGGACAGTGGAAAACATATTCTGTCGATGGAAAACCTGTGGTTTGTATTCAATAAAACAGTTTATATCTTAAGGCAAAGCTCCAATTTGTAATTAACTACTTCATATACTGGCGTTCGTGTCTCAACAGATCACAGATGGTTTTTCATCTTAAAAGGGTCAATTGATGACTTTTACTGGATCTCTGGGGAGAGCTATTTAGAGTTTCTTGGTTAACCGAGTCAAATGTCCGAGTCAAATGTCCGAGTCACTGTTTAGTGGTCTTTGTAATTCAATGACTTAGTAGTTAGTACCCTAACCCCATTCCTAACCCTATTCGATTGTGAATTTTATCAACGATGTAATTGGTTGAACTATCCATTGTAAATAAACCTGTTTAATTGTTATTTACGTAGTTTACATAAAAAAAACCCAATTCATCCTTATTATTTAGGTATTCGACGGAAACTGTGACCACTTTACACCAGTCCTGAATATCTTCGCCAACCCGATTATCTCCCGAATTATCCGAATACGTCCGAAGACTTTCCGAGGTGCCGCGTGCTTGAGAGTCGAATTCTTTGGATGTGATGCCTGAGAAGTGTACGTCGGTGGGATTGGGGATGTGTATTTGATACGCAGTGTTACGTAGGATTAGTTTAATGGTGGGTTAGTTAGGTTATATTCAAAATTGGGTGCTCAGTATCGGCAGATACAACTAATTGAATCAAGGTTGTCCTTTAAAAGCTGAAACTCAAAACCGCAAGATTTGCGATATCTATGCGCGAAAAGGACAATAGGCACAATTATACAGTAGAATGGGAGAGAAATAATAGTCACCTTTATTGATTTATTGTCGGGCAACTTTGAATTAGCTGCAAGGAAATCATTGATATCGATACGATACAATTTATACGTAGAATTTATCATATGCTATCATTCCTTACATTAAAATTTGCAATGTTCAGTACCAGAGCCCAGAGGTACTTGTTAATTCTTAGTATTATATTACAGGTTTCCTAAATATATCAGTATGTAATAAAATAGCGAAGAGTGAGTTTTTCAAAGACTATCAAAATAGCACGAGTCCGAAAACCAATCTGCAATCAGTTTTCGAACCAAGTGGAGAATGGGCTTACAGCAACGGTTTTCAACTGGTTTTCTCATGTGTCCCCGATTTCACATGATTGAATTACCACGTCCCCTGAACAGAAATTGCCCACTGAAGTCTATCAAAAACACGAATTTCGAAATAGTTAGTAAAATAGTAAATGATTTAAATTTTAAATAATAGATAGAAAGTCAAGCAAACATGTTTATAGTACAAACTATTGTATTCAACTATTGTATTCAACTATTGTTTTCTCAGTCCTAGACCAGTTTGTGTCCCCTAGGAATTTGCCAAATGTCCCCTCTCGGGGACATGTCCCCCAAGTTGAAAACCCATGGCTTACAGTAACAGGGTAAAACAGGGTGGCCTTTCCAGGGCCTCTGTTAAGAATTTGTCAGTGGAGAATGGTGAACGGGAAAAGTGGGAACTTGTACACAATGTTTTATATCTTTCATCCGCTAGACAAAGATCATCATACTTCACTGGAGGGGCCAAAACAGTCCCCCCTCCCCAGTCTATAGTATTGCCCTGGCTCTTTCTTAATTTATAATTACGTTTTCGGCTTTTCGCCATATTATCAATATTATGTAAACAAGGCAGGTAACAGCTGTCTCACTGTAATAAAAAATATTATGATTTTAGTATTACAATTAAAATATGTACGCACGCCTAGGCATGCATTGGCAAGCATTGGCCACTCAAACAAATTGTCCACAATTGTATGATTCATACCGATATTGTATGACGACTATGACCAGAGCCGGCGGCGGAAAAATAAATCGTGGGATCCATTCGGAATATAAAATCAACATCTGAATTGTGTATATTTAATAAACTCTCTTATAAATTATACTGTATCTCTTATTGGAAAAAACGCAAACAATAGTTTTATACAACTATTCATCACGAGGTTCCACTACTTTTGAATATTATATAAACTCAATACAGCTATGCCTATTCAAACACGGGGCAATACGGCTATTATTTCGAAACTCAACGTATATTTACGAATTTGTCTCCTTGGGGCAGCTGCTATACTTCTTATGTATTTATTTATGTCGGGCGAGTACTTGAAACAAACATTGAATCCTGATACCAAAGAAAGCCAGATTACAAAGGACGCGAAGTTTTATACCGAAGTCGAAGACGATATTAATCCTGACAAACCAACACAACCTTATACAGCTTATGGAGAAGGATGTCGCGAAAATCCGTACAGGGAACGTTTTAAAACACTTTTAAAGTCATGGGAGGGCATAGCGGCAAGGCAAAATATTACTGACTATTTTATATGTTTTGGTAGCATGTTAGGACAGGTCCGTAATGGCGATTGCGTTCCATATGATCATGATATCGACATATGTATGTTCAGAAGAGATCTTTACAAATTGGAGTCAGAGGAGGAGAAGCGGCCTTTCAAATATGATGATGGCAACCCACATATGATTATTCAACGTCATTGCCATCATCCGCCGGGCAATACACCTCGACAAGACTGCAAAGGGAATGTGGTTACAAGTTATACTGATAAATGTGCAATTGTTGACCCGTGTGCACGAATTTTGCTAGGAAGTCCGCCTTTTCTTGATGTTTTTGCAATAAAGGTAAGATGATAAAAAAGATCAGACTTAATTGCTTGCCCTGGAAAATTTTTTTTGGAACAAATTATTTTTTTGGAGACCCCCCCCCGGTCCTGCTGGCCCCTTGCCGACTAGTCTGCAATAGCAGACATCAGTCTGCTGTTGCAGACTACTTGCCGACCTTTCTTTAACCCTTTAAGTGGCAAAACCTGCCACTTAAGCCCTTTAAGTGGCAAAGTGTGCCACTTATTAAGCGGGTACAAATTTTGCTGGTCTGTATGGTTCAACAAAGCCAAAACTGTAACTGGCTTTAAAGGGGTTAAAGACCCTTCTTACTCTGTCTGACACCAGCCAATTTTACTCATCAAGGGGAGAGTGCTGCCCTCAATGGGTTAAAAACTGCAAATTGCCCAAATCACAGATCTTAGAGCCTTGTTTTCGTGACTGACATGCTTGGATTTAAATAATGTCATCCACAGAAACAAGGCTCTATAGCCAAAGTCCATACCTTGGTTAGAATGAGGGCCAAACTAGGTTAGTTTTGTAAGTCAGACCAACCCAATATCGAACGAACACTGAATCCAAACAAGCACTGATATCCCATGACTGCGGTTTTCAGTATCAATTTGTTTCCATGACTACAAAGTAAGTACATAATGACTTTACATCTAAGAGCTTTGATCTCTTCTTTCTTATAAGGACAAAGGCAATGAACTGTTTGATGAATATAAAAGAGTCGCTCATAAAAGGGAAGTAATATTACCTTTAAGACCTTGTAAATACATGGGTATTGACACTAAATGCCTGAATAATCAGACAACATATTTAACAAGGTATTACGGAAAAGATTACTATAAACCCATTTATGTATGTAAAGGTGGCAAGTGGGTGAGGCCATCATGAAGTTAGTCATACTGGCAAGTACTGGAAATGTTATGGGGTGAAAGAGTTAACAAAGTAGTCGACCTTCTGTATGACTTATTCCAGCCTCGTACCCAGGCTCTTTAGTAATTAATAGCATTCTGATCTCTGGGTGAGCTTTTAGGCGCGCTGGGAATCTTGGGGAGGTTGAATCCCTGCGCGCCTTGTTCACCCAGAGCTGTGAATGCTATTAATTACTAAAGAGCCTGGGTACGAGGCTGGACTTATTCTGTGACTGCCATATTACTCATTATAAATATTCATAATATTTGTTTTAAATTTATCATTTTTATATTTTAATTTATTAGTGGTAACCTGTTAACATTGTTTGGCATGTGTTCGGGTCTGTGGGACCAAAATTTAACTCTGTGACTTTCACACAAAATGTGGGACACTTGGCAGGTCTGTTTACTTTTCACTCAACCAGTTGTCATTGACCGAACATATTTAAAAGGCAATAACGTTATGTTTTGAAACACATGTTTGGTAAAATATCTAACATTCGTTAGATGGAAAAATCATCGTGAATTATCATGAGTATAAATAAATAAAAAAAGTAGCATTACAAGAACTTAACAAGAGGTATAATATAGCTGTCTGTAAAAAGTGTGTGCAACATGACCTAATTGCAGTGCAATTATTGGCAAGCAGGCCAGCAGGGGGGGGCAACCCCCCCCCCCCCCCCTCTACAGGTCAGGAAGACTAAGGTGCTGTTACACCAAGCAACTTGTCTTGCAATGTTAAGAAAAACGATTTCAGCATTGTGTTGCAAGGGATGTTACAGCAAGTAATATGTTCCATGCAAGGTGCAATGATCATAATTATTAAAAATAGTATAAGAACTGCGACTGTTGATGTTTGGCGCCAAATTGACAATCAAAGGCCAATACAAAGCCATTCAGTGTATAAACATTGCGAGACTAGTTGCAAGAGGGATGTTATACTGTGCAGTGGCAATGCTCAAAAAATGCGTTGCAACGTTGCCACAGTCGTTGTGAAGAGTAGAACCTGAACTTAATTTGTGCAATGCCAATGCTTGTTAATTGCAACAAAAATGTTGTGAAACTTGATGTCTGTTTTAGGTTGTGTCATAACTTGTGTCGTAACAAAATTGCGAGATATTAATAATTAAAGTTGCAAGACATATTGCATAGCGCGCCTTTAACTGCGATCCTGCTGCGACACGCAAGGAGATTTCAGTCTAATAACTTTTAATTCTAAGAATCACAAATTTACAAAAATTATATGTAGCACATTCCGATCAAATTTTCACATTATAAAGTTAACTAATGAAACAAATAAAAACTATAGACTGTTCACGGAATTATAAACTACAAAACAGTACCTGAAGGGTCGATCTCCTCACGCTCGAACGTTGCTTAAAACTAATTTCTTTCACTCGCTTTTAATGCGACGTATTACGTATTTACTTATTCTGTCTGTCTTGATCGACTGTCTCGTTTCAAATTACTAATAATTAACTAACAAAATTGCGTGGCCATATACACTCAGAGTAACATCACAAGCATCATATTCACCTGAGTACATTACACCAACACAGAAAAAATCATGATTACTAGATTACATTGATATCGAAAATACTAGATTATATATCACATACCCGAAACATACTCGGACCAACCTGACCGCGTAGCTCAGTTGGCAGAACGATTGAGCTAGTATTCCAAAGGTCGTAGGTTCGATTCCCACCGTGGCCAGGCATATTTTTCAAGCTTGCCCGTTGTGGATATACACTCAGACTATTACATCACAAGCATCAAAAACGAAACTGTTTAATTAAATTATAAAAGTACCGGAAACAAAATGTCAACTGTTCAAAACAGACGTGAGATGTATTATTATAACCGACCTTATATATACACCCTCTAAAAATGCTATATATGACGGTTTAAAAATGTTTCTGGTTAACTTATAGAAATAACCCTATAACCTATTTGTGGTTATTTTAATATTTTCCTTTTATGACCAGGACTTTGCCTTTGGCGATAAAAAATAGTTTGTCTTATTGAAAAGAACTCTTAAAATTATGTATTAAACTCTGTATACCGATTTGTCATATCTTGCTTAGTTGTCAAAATATTTGGACCGAACAGTAATAAGCTGTCCGCCGTCTTGGACTAATTATTGATCTCATTAAAGCCATGGGCAAACACTAGGAAACATTATTGAGAAACATTAGTGAGAAACATAGGGAAACATCAAATGTTTCTGGATTCGCTAGGAAACATTTTTGCTTCTCGGGAAGCAAATTTTGTTTCCGCAACAATGTTTCCACGGGTGGGCAAACAGGGAAACATTTGAGGAAACATCGAGAATCACAAATGTTTCCACAGCAACGTTTCCTAGTTTGCCCAGGGCTTAACTATGGTTTTGATGACGTCAGGAGTTAGGTTAACCAGATAAAACTACTCTAAAATGACCGAATAAGAATCCAAAACTGTTTGAAATGTTTTTAATCATTTCTAAATTTCAGACGGCAAACAGAAACGAAAGTTTGGACCCAAATTGATCACTTTATACTCTCAAGATAAAAAATTAGCGTGACCCCTCTCTTGACGTAACATGCATGCATATACTTACTTTGTAGCAACGTTTTCCAGCAGCGAATAACTTTTTTTAACGAACGTGATGGATACTTATCTTATAATAAAGTCTGTTTTCCACATCAACCGTATCGTAACGTATAGTAGCATTTCTTTTGTGTCGAAGTCATTAGTTTCACTCTAGTGCTCAGGGAACAAAGAAATACGCTTCGTCTCGGTACGATACGGTTTGATGAATATAAAAAAGTCACTCATAAAAGGGAAGTAATATTACCTTTAAGACCTTGTAAATACATGGGTATCGACACTAAATGCCCAAATAATCAAACAACATATTTAACAAGGTATTACGGAAAAGATTACTATAAACCTTTTTACGTATGTAAAGTCGGCAAGTGGGTGAGGCCATCATGAAGTTAGTCATACTGGAGAAACAACCCGAAAAACGAAGTTTTGCACCCAAATTGATCGCTTTATACTCTCCAGATAAAAAATTAGTGTGACCCCCCTCTCGACATAACCTTCAATAATCCAAGAATGGCAAGATGGCGAACAGCTCACTTATTTCAATCGAAATATTTTGAAAACTAAGCAAGATACGAACAATTTGTAATGGAATTTTTAACGGGTTATAGAATGTCTGTGGTAATGTGTGTCCATTCTCGCTGTCCCACTGACGTTGCCCATTACTGCGTGAGAACAATCCCGTCTGCGGTCTGCCAACTTTTGCACCTGCAAGATAAATTTAATTTTTCAATTAATTTCGTTCCTGTTTCATGTTCTTTCCATTCTAGTTTTATTTAATCATCTGTCTGATTGAAGCAAACTTGACGATGAAAATGGGTTTTATTTAACATTGATACAGCCATAGAGTATTGTTTCCCGATAACTGCTTAATTAAGTTCATTTGCATACATTGGACATGCAGCATAGTACTCTTTTACTGGTCAGCATAACCATTTACGGTCACGGAGATTCCTAAGCCAAGGGCGATTTAGCCTGCGAACAGGCTCTCTTCGAAATTCAAAGAGCCTGTTCGCACGCTAAGGGCAATTCTTGGAGTCGGTTGTACGAAGGCCGGGTTAGTGCTATCCACTGGAGGCCGGTTGTTCAAAGCTGGGTTAGCTTAACCCTAGGTTGTAATAATTAACCTAAAATTCAAAGCAAACTTCCTCACAACGTGTCTATAAATTTGGAAATAGTTCTTCAGAGATCTTGTCTGGATCGATAAGAGTTTACTTCTCTGAAGTTTTCGGAAATGAACAGACGTGCAGAAATACACAAACTAAAACAGCAGGTTAAATTTTAACCCAGGGTTAGCGCTAACCCACATTTGAATAACCGTCCCACGGGTAGTGACTTTTCAACCGTTGTTACAATGGCTGAAAACTACTGTAAAACTATGGCTATGAACCCCCAAAAGAAGCATAAAACAACTTTAGTTGAAGAGATTTGTAGATGGAGATTTCGACTGGCCAATTTTTATACATTTATCAGACCTAACCAGGACCAGTGCGAAAAATGCAACTATCGGAGTATCGGTCCTCTGGCACGCAGGAATCGAATCTGCGGCCCTACGATTCCGGTGCAGAGCGATTATATCAAGTGAGATACCCAAAATCATGTTATTTACCCACAAAACAACTCTAAGTTATAAATACTAAACTTTATTTTTGTTCAGTATGCAAATCAACGGCCAATTTATACGAAAGCTTGAAAAATCATATCCCGCCTGCTTACAACTGGCCCATGGTCACTGATGGGTTAACCAAAAGAATATGTCTCACTATTCTTAACTCGTTAAGCGGTAATGCTCTCCCGGTTTTTCGGCATATATTCAAAATTTGAAACGTGAAATAAGCTTAAATTTGCGTTGGTCCGCTGCACGTAATACACTACAATAACCTGTCGTGGTTTGTGTCGGAACTACTTGAAAAATGGAAAACTTTTCCACATTTCAGGCGAAGGTAAATTTTTGCACGAAGTAAATTTAATTTGGTTGGCATATATTATAATTATCGGATAATTCCCTTATGCAGCAGCAAGCGTTTTTGAATATTTGTTTAGTGTGAAATGTCGCAATTACACAGGTTTCAAAACACGAATACTGGTATTGTCTGAGGAAATGATATTTGCACAGATGAGTAAACTTTATGAAATGAGATAATTATGTCCGAGAGCTTAAAAGTAAAGAGGTTCTTCCTTCTGCTGTCTACTTTGGAATTCATCTTCCATGCAAACGTCTGCAACATTTAATTGGATAAGGTGAGACTTTTTCATTGGTTAATTAAAGTAGTACATCTTTTTATAAAGCCTCGAGGATGAGGGTTGACGAGAGTACCACATCTCGCTCGTCTTTGAATACCGCCAACTCTCATCTACGTCTGTGCACTCTCATCAACTCATATAAACTTTGCACTGGTTCAATTTTCGATGAGAGCCTGATGAGAGGTTTTGCTATGCCACTCTACACTGAACACCTCCTATATATTACAAATGTTCTGGTTGCAAGAGAATGGTAAACTCTCATGCAAACTCTCGTTTCTCAACCCAGACCAACTCTTATGTAGGTTTAAAATATTCAAACATAGAGTATAGATTGAAGGGATGTTGATGATACAATGGTTAGTGTATATGTCTTACAGTTTCACCTCAGTGACAGGGATATGATTCTTAGAATATGCAGAGACTATATAATCTTACTAGCTCAGTCGCATGTGAGAAAAGTGCTTTTTCTTTTTTCCAAACAGATCAATCTTGCCAAGATGTTTGCTATACTTGGTGTCACATTGACAATATTGTTCTTGAATGTTGAAGGAAAAGGACCATTTGACTTGCGCCAAGGTTAGCCCATGCAGTAAAGGTGGAGTTACACGGGCAACAAAATTTCTGCAACTTGCAACAAAATCTGATTTCAACGCATGTTAATTGAAAATGTTTACACATAAATTACAAAGAACAAGGCAATATGTGTCGACATTTTTTACTTAACATGCGTTGAAATCAGATTTTGTTGCAAGTTGCAGCAATTTTGTTGCTCGTGTAACAGCTCCACCTTAAACATCACCGATAAAAAATTCAAACGATCTGTGAAACTACCTGGAAAGCACAAGCAGAACTTCGACGTTTCAAGCGAAGTCCCTTAGGTTAAAGGCCATTTCCCATTGCAGTCGCTTTGCCCGCGCGGGTGAAGCGACCAATTTTAATCACGTGAAAAACCAGTCGTGCGGGCAAGCCAAGAAAGTTGAATGTGTAGTTCAACTTTCATTGCGTGTCCGCGAGCAGTCAGGCGGACGAAAAATGCACAGGTTAGACAACTAGAGGGAAAGTTGAGTAATGTTCGCTCCGCCCGCGCGGGCAAAGCGACTGCAATGGAAATCGGCCTTTAAGGCCCATTTCCACTCAAGAAAAATTTCCACGGACAGAAAATTTTCCGAAAATATCATTGTTAAAAGTTGAAAATTTTCAACTTCAAAATGTTTTTCCGACGGAAAATTTGTGTCGGCCAATCACATTTTACAAAATTTTCTTTCTGCGGAAAATTTTCCTGAGTGGACATGGGCCTTTAGGTTAGCACTGGGTGTAGAACTTCCCGACGGGGGGCCTTCGCTCGACTGAAACATCGAAGACGAATTTCTGCTCTCATGCAATCCTCAAATTTGACCATTATTTGCAGATCCCAGGTACAGTCCAGCTCCGCTGGAACCAGGCTTGGTCGAAGGTGATTTTAAGCTGACAGAGAAACAGAAGGTGAATCAGAAATTATACGGAAATGTGTATGGTCCAGTGGGCAGATCAGCGTCAGGACGAGAAAGCGAGAGGTGGCCTGGGGCTATTATTCCTTACGTCTTTGACTGCAGTGTAGGTGGGTATTTATGAAGGTCTTAATATGGGTCAGTTGTCCGCCCAAATTCAGGCCCATGGCCGTGCATAAATTAATGATGCTTTAAGTACTAGATAAAGCATGAGCATCTGATCTGTATCTGATGTACAAACTCGAGCCGAAGGCGAGAGTTTGTATATCAGATACAGATCGGATGCGAATCGTACTTAAAAATGAACCATCTTATGAGTTCATTGGCGAAGTAATTTTAAAAGTAAACATTGTCTAAGCCGAGAAAATCAAAGCTGAAGTTTATGTAAATCAGGACAAATCTGTATACATTGATTAAACATTCATTTCTTTTGTATTTTCTAGTTCGTGAATTATTAATCAATTTTTTAATTTGTGATGGTTAAATGCTATATTGCTATAATACAATATAATGCTATATTTGCAACAATATATAAAGCAAAACTTTATACTGAACTTCAGATATCCGATTTTCTCTTTGGCATACCATCTAAAATCTCTTCACATTAGCATTATTTTACACATAAAGCACTAAACATACTTTTTAAGTTTGCCGATTGAGAAACGTATCGAAAAATAAGAATTTTGAATGTAGTCATAACCGCAAGTGTTCAACATACACTGAAAAAATCACCTTTTAATGAATCAAATTATCGATTGAGTGATTGGATAAATGATTGATTAAATGGTTGTTTGATTTATTGATTTATCGATTTATTGATTTATCGATTTATCGATTTATTGATTTATCGATTTATTGATTTATTGATTTAGCCAACCTCCCAAGTGCTATAGAAGCAACAAAGAAAGCAATTGCGATCTGGGAGAAGAACACTTGCATCCGTTTTGTTGAAAGAACAAACGAAAAGAATTATCTAGAGTTCTTCAGATCTGGAGGGTAAGTTTTTTTATTCAAACAAACTTAGCAAAGAATTTGTCTCAGTGCAGAGGTTTAAGAACAATATCACATCAGTTTCTTCCCTCGACAGATGTTGGGCAAGTTTCATTGGCTACCAGAACAGAAAGACACAGATCTCAATCGGTGACGGTTGTGACTATGAACACGTGATGGTGCATGAGCTTGGTCACGTGATCGGTTTCTGGCATGAGCAGAGTAGACCTGATAGAGATAACTATATCGAAATAGTCTGGGATAATGTGATTGATTGTAAGTAATTGACAGTAAGTTTCCAGTGGGTTTACTTAAATTACACATGCACCGGCTAATTACGAATTCAATTTTTTTGCCTGTTGAAGCAAGACAAACCTCTGTACATTTCTCATCAAATTTTCATCCAAGTTGAACAGAAAATTGATGGAATTCTTGGCACCGTATATTTTCGTAATCACTGTTTGATAGTTTTTCAGTTATCTGTTATCCTGTTGACAGACACACGCACATACAAACACAAATAAATCGAGGAGAAACCTTTAACCTATTTGTGGAGGTAATAAATGACCTTTTTTGTCTAGCAATGAAATACAACTTTGATAAGGTGGTAGACGGCGCAGTGGACAGCGTTGGCGAACCGTACGATTATGCCAGTATCATGCATTATCCGTTCAACGCTTTCTCTAAAGACTGGAATAAAGACACTATCATACCTAAGAGACCTTTGAATGGCAAGAGACCGTACATCGCTTTGACTCAGTCAGATGCCAGACAGGCCAACATCATGTATAAATGTCCTGGTTAGTATTATAGCATCATCACCATCATACCATTGCCATCACTACCATACCATACCATACCATACTATACCATATCATACCATCCATACCATACCATACCATACCATACCAACGTCATCACCACCAACGTCATCACCATCATGATCATCATCACCATTATCATCACCATTATCATCACCATTATCATCATCAACACCTCATCACCACCATCATTACATCACCACCATAACGACCATCATCACCATCATTACCATTATTATCACCATCAATGATATCATAATTCATAATCACCACCATCGCCACTCAATTTTCGTGCAAAAAACACTGGACCTACAAGGGATGACTCCTCTTACAGCAGCATTTAGGAGAACAGTTTAGAACTAATAAAGCTGTCTATTAAGAGACTGTTTCGTAAGGTAAAGAGTATAAAGCGTGTATTGCATTATATGTTGTAGCTGTTATCAAAAAGAGGAATGAGGACTTGCAACGATTACAAAGATCGCCAGTTATTCCAGCAATGAACGATGGTAGGCATTATTATATTTTAATAGCTCGCTTCATGGCTCCCTAATTTCTGCAACCATGAACCATTCTCTCTGTAATCGACACACAGAAGCGAAAAATGCAACTTTTACATTACAATATGCGCCCGGACAATGTGTGTAATTTTTACCGGCAAAGAACTTTGGGATTGATTTCTGGTTCTTTCGTTCTGATTGGTCGATGCAATTTTACTTCTGAGGAGTTAACGTACATCACTGCTTTGACAGGAATCATTTTGCGAAAAGGTGTCATTTATATATTTGAATTGAGTAATTTTAAAGTTGGAGATGTCGTTGAAGCCGTGGATGAGTTTGGTGTGTGGCCAGGGTAAAGGGGAAAGTTGTTGCCACGGAGGATGAAAAACACAAAATCTCCTTTGGAGGCTTTGGCAGCACGTGGCAACACAGGAACACTCACCTTTCATCTTCGACTTCTGTACGTCCAAAATGAAAATAAACTGCCGATTCCGCGTAAATAAACTCTTAAAGTTTCCCAGTACTGCAATCAGTTGTTCTTGAATGACTTTTATTGAGGAACACAGTGATTAACATTTGAAAATTAACAGCAATCGGCGATCAAAACAAAGCAAGCAAAAAATAACAGTATCGCAATGCATCTGGCCATACAGCCCGTAATCAGTATGCCCGTTCGCAAGTTGAAATTTGAAATTAGAGACGAATCCAGGCAATGTCGGGGCTCATATTGTCATGTAGGTCTCTGGCAGGAATCGAATCTGCGGCCCTGCGATTATGGTACAGCGCTCTGACCAACTAAGGTACAGAGAGATAGTTGTTGAGCTCCAACCACAAGTTTATGTATATATATATACTAGAGTACTGCCATGTATAGGTTATGGGTAAAAATCATGATTTTTGTGGCATCTCACTCGAATGAATAATTCGGAAATTGTCGATTGGAAATTGTCGAGTGGAAATTTATATACATTTATTATTCAAATTCCGGTGCAGCGCTCTAACCAACTGAGATACAGAGGCCAGTTCCACTAATAATGTAACCAGGTTCCCTGCAGGCAGTGGTTTCTGTGCTGAGCTTGGACACGCTCAGCTCAAGCTTATAGCCCAGAAATCACTGCTACCAGGGTAATAATCAGGACATCCTGTATATATTATTACTACTTTTGCCAGACTCGTGTGTGGATGATCAAATACATTGTCCAGTTTGGGCGAAGGATGGCGGCTGTGTGACGTCAGCAAACCCTCTGCTGCAGGTGTGCAGGAAAAGTTGCGGCAACTGTGGACCATGTGTGGACCAACATCCAACTTGTAAACCTTGGGCTGCTGATGGTCATTGTTACAAAAACCCAGGGTACATGTGGAAACACTGTAAGGTCAGCTGCTTCGTATGTACACCAGGTACGTCATGTTACGGGCATTATAGAACAAGGATACGATAGTGCCTTCTTAACTAAATAGACCCTTTGCACTGACGTCACAAATCCTTAGAGTGTCCTCCAGATGGTCCCTAACAATATCTGTTCGGGTACAACAACCACATACAGCGCAAAAACTAACCATTTTAATACAAAATTATTATAAAGTTTTACAAAATTTGCTTTGTTTACAAAAGTTTTATTATGCATTGATTGCTAATTTGTCCTTCAGATGCATCGTCACCGGCGCTGTGACGTCATGTGCAATGGGTCTATTGAAACTCAAATTGGGAATCATTGTCTAATAATGAATATGAATATCAATGCTCAGCATAATGTCCGTATAATAATAGCCATAACGTTTCGTCTTATACTCAAGACGTCTTGAGTCTTCTTCAGACGGTTGCAGAGGTGAAAACCGTGTATTGCGCCTAATTTGAACATTGAACACTTCACAGTCTCAAATGACAGATAAGGACGTATGATACAATAATTCCTGAGATTCTTCCATAATTGTGTGAAAAATTGAAAATGTTCCTTTCCCGAGATCCCACTGTTTTTCAGATCTGCATGCGTTGCCACAAGAGTGACAGGCTAGCGTTGACCAATGTACCACAAAGGCACAAACCATCATCCCGGTAAACTATTTTCTTTCTTTAATTTATCCAGGTCCTTCACCAACAACCCCACCAACACGACCGCCACGTCCTACCACAGAAAAAACAACCAAACCAACACAGCCACCTACAAAACCAACAGAACCGGTGACTACCAGACCCACCGTTAACCCACCGGTAAAACCAAAATACAGAGGTAATTATAATACACTCACAAATCTCACAACTTATCAACAAGATGCGTTCGCAACAGCCTTGTAGCAAGCTTGTCAACAAGTTGTAACAATGTTGTCATTTTATCAAGTTGCTACATACACGGTTGTCACTCACAACTTGTTGACAAATTGTTGAACAAGTCTGTTGAGATCAAAAACCTTGTAGCAAGTTGTCAACAAGTGTTGCGAACAGTGTTTCGTATCTGTAATTATCTGTCATGCGTTTTTTTCTCTCAAGGTATCAAATGTACAGACAGGGACACTAGGTGTCCTGGATGGGCTTCAAAGGGACGATGTGGGACAGATGCTTGGGTGTATAAGAATTGTTTGCTGAGTTGTAAACGAACTGATCTATGTGACACAGAACAACCAAGACCATCAGGTATGATCAGTTTATGCATTTCTCTTCTCTTTTATTCTATAACTATGCTTCGGTGTTTTTGTTTCATTTCTTCCTTAAGACCTTAATTCCCGTCTTCTTTTCCTTCCGTCCTTACAAATGCTGTCATTTTTCTTCCCTTGTTTCCTTTTGTTTATTTATTTATTTATTTAGCTTTGCCCACCAGGGCTGGGTCACCACAACAGCATGTGCCAATTACTGCGGGCCCTTTTACCTAACCCACCCTGTCAACTTGTTCTTTTGAGTATTATAATTCCGTGCAGTTGTTTTCGTCTAAATTTTCAATACTAAACTAACTTTATTGTACTGGACATACAGGGCGCGAAATAACGGCTGGAGGGTCGGCGGTCAAGGTTACCGGCCAACTCAATTTTAGATCGGACATACCAAATTTCTGGCCGGTCAAATTATTCAGCTTAATGCAAATCCTAGTAAAGTATACCCCTAAAAATGTGACCATTTTCCCAGTATAGCAGTACAAAATGCCTTACTGTAATCAGTAATTAAAAATTCCTTCACATAAAACGGCTTGTACTGGGCTAAAAGCATGGTCTTAGCTCTTAAGCCAAAGGCATGGCCATGGCCCATGGGCTTTGTGACGTACTGCGTGCGAAATCTGGTGTATATTGAAGTTGTTTTCCTGCAAAATATTCGACAACATGCATGTTATGGTTCTTAATTATAATACTGTACTTGACCACTTTATTTTGATCATTATTATAAAATGAAGATTAGTTTGTTCTTTTACCGAAAGTGACCGGTCAAAATGACCGGCAAGGTAAGAATTTGACCCGACAACTCCGCATTCTGGCCGGACATTGTCCGTTGACCGGCCGTTATTTCGCGCCTTGTGGACATAGCTCTATCAATTCTATACTGTTTTCCCTAGATTCATAAGTCATTTTCTCTTTTTTTCACTTCCTCCATCAGTTGTTTCTCATTTTAATTTTTGTTGTTAGGCTCGTGTTCACAACCGTTTGGTTTGGGTTGGGACAGAACTCTTCTGGACAGCGCCTTCCAAGCTTCTTCGTCGTTCCAGCCAGGTAATATATCAGGATGGCACAGAATTGCCGCAATATTGATTGTGGATTGCTTCTAACAAACTAAAATGATTTCCGACTGATCACTCTAAAGGCCGGTTTGCACTTGCAAATTTTGCTGGGAATTTTAGTGCATTTTTCTTCTTTTTCTTCAACACGAAAAAAGTTCCACAATATTGCACCAAGTAGCTAGGTAACAAGGCGTTGACATTAATTTGTCAACAAGCTGGGCACAAGCAATGTGAATACATCCTGATGATAAGTTGTAATCAATAACATATCAATTGATAAACAAATTATTGAAGGAAAAGGATAACAGATCTTAAATACACTTTATCTAACTAGTACTGTCTTTTGGTCTTAACAAAATATTATAATGATTTTTTTTTATAAATTTTTGAGTTTTTATACTAATTTTTACAGTTTACACGTTTACGAACAACAAGTAATGTCAAAGGAGCGACACTTTGTACACAAAGATTTCCAAGTTCTTGGTCGATCGACATCGAAATCTAAGCTCAATTTCTCATAGTAGTAGTAGTATAGTTTATTTTTGAGCGACGAGAAGGTTAGGGATGATTTGATAGTTGATGGTAGGTTGTTCCACATTAGAACCACTCTGCCGAAATAAAAGTTTCTGAAGAAGAATGTTCTGCATAAGTCAGGTCGGAGAGCCGGTTGGCTGAGCTAATTAAGGGGAGTCTGGTGATGAGGTGGTTGAACAACATAGTTAAAATCTGCTGCAGGTTTGTTGCAAGTTGTGCGTTATTAATGAGTTATGAATGCTCTGGTAGCTTCTGATCTTCTCGTTCACATCAGAAGAGGAAAATTGCACCTAAAATTGCATAAAAAATTGCAAGGATAAACGTACCTTTACATGGTGTATCTTACTTAGGTGCTAGTTGGACAGCCAGTGCGAGCAATGCAAGACTTTACATGAGAGACGACCATGATAACAAACGTATTGGCTGCTGGTGTGCCGCCTATGGTCAAACAGAAAACCAATGGTTGCAAGTCGATCTGGGTCAAGTGAAATACGTATCTGCAGTCGCTACACAAGGTATGTGATGAATTTGTAAACTAAACTAAATCTAGTGTGTTATTGTCGATTTCAGGTAACTTTTCAACACGCTGTTCCCAAGTTCGTTGCAAACTTGCCAATTACGTTGTCAAGTTCGGAAGTTGGGCGTGAACTTCGCAATGAAGTTTGCAAGTTCATTTCAAAGTTCGAACTTTGATTGCAAACAAATGTTCATAGTTGGAGTTGAAATTACTGTATAAGGCCCTATGCACATATTACTGCAGTAAAATATTGGTCCAGTGGTCTCCCAAGACGAAAAATGCTTTTTAAAATAAATTTATAAATGAAATTTTTACATTTGTTTACAATCGAAGTTCGAACTTTAAAATGAACTTGCGAACTTCGTTGCGAAGTTCCCGCCCAACTTCCGAATTTGGAAACGTAGAAACGTATTAAATTGGCAAGTTGACAACAAACTTGGGAACAGCGCTTTGAGTAATATCATGAAATCGACTACAAGGGCACATGTTGTTCAGACACAAACTGCGACAGGTTATTGTGATGTAATACTTACAATTTCAAATTTAATCACTCAAGGACGCGATCGATATTTTGAACATGTCGAGACGTACGAGTTATCTTTCAGTCAAGATGGTTCAGTGTTCAAAAACTACAAAGAGAATGGCTCAGTGAAGGTTAGGTTTTGGTATTTATAAAACTGCAAAGAATTCCTGTATGGGTGGTTCTCTAAACGGTTAGGATAAGGGTTAGGTAAGGGTAGATTAGTTGTTGTGTAATGTCGGCTGATGTTTAGGCCCAGCCAGGGGGAAGGGGGTTACCAGAATACCAGCATACCTAAAATTTCAGACTAAGTAGACTGTCTGCCTGAGTACTTTTAAGTACGTTTCCATTGATTTTCTACTCTTATTTTCTCAAACAGTTATTCACTGGCAACTGTGATCACGTGACACCAGTCATCAACAAGTTGGCACAACCCGTCCGTGCCCGGTTTGTCAGATTCCATCCGAAACAGCATTACGCCGGGATGTGCATGAGAACTGAGGTGTATGGATGTAATGTCTAAATGATAAACAGAATGATTTAATAAAAAAAAGCAGTTATTAAATTGTTGTAAAAAGTAAAATGCCTCTTGTTTTTAAATCTTGATTCAAAACAGTGCCACGCCAATGGCCTTTACTACACGCGTGGAAATCTCACAACTTGTCAACAAGATGTGTTCGCAACAGGCTTGTAGCAAGCTTCTCAACAAGTTCTAACAATGCTGTTATTTTATCAAGTTGCTACCAGTGAACTGCGTGTGTCTTACCTGGTAAATAGATTGAGTTCACTGGTTGCTACAAGCTTGTCACTGACAACTTGTTGACAACTTGACAAGTTGTTGAATTGTAGGACTATCACAAGTTGTTGGAACAACTTGTAACAAGTCCGTTGAACTCAACAACCTTGCAGCAAGTTGTCAACAAGCCGTTGACAACTTGTCAACAAGCTGGGAACAAGCAGTGCGAACACATCCTGTTGACAAGTTGTTGGAACAGCATTGCTACAAGTCTGCTGCAGGTTTGTAATTACAACTTGTGCGTTTTTACGTGTGTAGACCAACTGAATTATAGCGCTATCCTGCCCAGTTTTAATAAAGATCGTTTAGGTTTCCTCCTGTAGTAGTATTGACAATAGTAACACTGATAGAAAAAAAAGGATGGCTCTTTCTGAACCGCAAGGGAAAACAGTCTTTATACTTTATAGAGTTCGTTTTGTGTTCTTTGTAGTCTTGTATATATAAATTATCAAAAGTTCTGAATTTGAGCACTAGTAAAGGCTGGTTTATACTGTCAAAGTTTCTGTGAATACAGTAGGAATGAAAAATATTTTGGGGATCACCGCTTCTTTGCCCCAGTCCCCGTGAGAACAAAATGGCGAAATGGTACGAAGACGAAGCATTTGCAAACAAAGTTTGTAAGCTTGTTTACGACAATTACGAGCGTTTGGGAAAGAAAGGAAAACCTGTAGCAGGAAGAGAATGGACAATGTTAGCTGCTGTTGTCGCTGTCTTTGAACAGGAGCAAGGAGAAGGTACGAAAATACATGGTAAGACATCTAGTTTTATAACACTATGGCGGTAAATTTAAATTTGTACATAATTTCTGAAGATAATAACTAAAGCAGTAAATTTGAAGTAATGATTTTGATATTTATCGTAAAAGAAAAGATATGACGAGTATTTTTGTATAATTGTACAAGTATAATGTACTCAAATTATCAAGGTTTTGGGCATATTAAAACCTGATATTAAACTTGATTGATTTCGGGAGGTAGCCTCGCATGGGCTATATTTATGGCCCGTTCGCTATTTTCCCGTTTAGGAACTGCATGTTTGTTGTATTTGTACCTTATTAATGTAATATATTTAGTTCCTAATAAAGCTGTTAAAAAAAAAAAACTGACTGAAATCTGAATGTTGAAGGTTTTTGAAGATGGAAATTTTGAATTGGAATTGTATATATTTTGTACATGAATGATACTGTTTTACTGGAAATTTCCATCTACAAAAACCCTTAAATGTTCAAATGGGGCTTTGGTGGCGAAGTGGTTAGCGCAATTGCCTTTCACTTCTAAGGCCGCGCCTGACTGGAAAGCTTGGAAATTGTGCGGTCGAGATTTTGAAAATTTAATAGTAAATATATAGAAAGTAAATATACTGGAGGCCACAGGTTCAAGCCTCAGTGAGAACTTTCTCAATGTGACCTGAACCCAGTCCTCGTGCGAAAAGAGTAAAAGTCAACGCTCTGCTGAAAGTCATGGGTTTCCTCCAGGTACTCCGGTTTCCTCCCACAGGGAAAGTTGACAGGGTGGGTTAGGTAAAAGGGTCCACAGTAATTGGCATATGCTGTTGTGGTGACCCTGCCCTAGTTGGCAAAGCTAAATAAATAAAATGTTTCAATGTTTGTGCCATCCCAACAAGAGAAATTTGCACCCCCCCTCCCCTGAAATTTAAATGCTCATTGGATTAAGTGACAGCTGACTGATTAAAACAAGGATTTTGAACTAAATAAGACCAAAAATCTCAAAATTTCTTGGGGGTTTCACCCCTTATACCCCCAACCTTGCCCCCAGACTGTGCTTCCAGGACCCTGCTGCAGCTTGCTCAGAGGCACTACGTGCCCCCTCACTCACCTCCCCTCTGAGTTTTTGGCACCCCCAGAGCAAAATCTGAAAATCCATCTATGAATGAAACATGACACATTTTAGGGCCAAGTAATTTAGTGTTTTGCTTCCAATTTCTATTGGTCAATTTTTTTGTCATCAAGAAGTAAACAAATATAGAATGTAAACCCATTCAAGTGTTGGGAATGCATTCACAATGGTAATTTCACCATTTCTACCAGACATATAGTATATATGTGTTATGTGTGCTTTGTCTAGATTATAAGGTGGAGTTAATATCATTAGGCACTGGATCAAAATGTCTAGGCAGAAATCAACTCACTTCAACAGGTGTGTAACAAAACCTCAACCAATATCCTATCATGGTACTATTTTTCAAAGATGCAAAGTATTTTTCTGTCAATCAGTCAATGTTAATCTGATGTAAATAAACCATGAACTTTAGTTTCTTGTAAATAACTTTGATCATTAGTGCATCACTATATAATATTGGTGTACACTTCTGAGTATTACATTTTATTTAAATAGGAAATCTTTTAAACGATAGCCATGCTGAAGTTGTTGCACGCCGAGGTTTTCTGAGGTATAGATATTGTATAATGTTGGCCAATAATGAGTTCATCCTTTTGATGTGTAATGTCCCCGTCGCCCCCCACTTTTCTTGAAGAGTAAAATTGTATGATATTTTGATGCCTAAAGTGTGGGGGCTGGTGGGGGGGGGGGGGATTTCCTGTTCCTGATAGAGGATGTATTTGTAATGAATATTTCCTCATCACAAGGTTAATTAAAATTGATGTAAAGCACCAGTTATGTGATAATGAGTACATACAAACTTTACCAAAAAATTGAAGCAAAGACTAAGCTTCATGTTTTATTTTTGTCCATGGTTGTCCCCATGATCCTTTTAAAAAAGTTTAACGGTGTCATTCTGTTTTCGTGTTCAGGTATCTTTATCAAGAGCTGGAAAATGCATACACCTCCAGACAAAGTATTTTTATAACCAATGAAGAAAATCATGTGTGTTCTTTAAAAAATTATGTCAGCTTTCATCTGTTCTCGTCTCATACACCTTGTAAGTTTTCCTTGCTAAACATTTCGTTTCACTTTCCATTCCTTAAAACGCAACCATTTAACTGAGGTCAGAATTATATTTTATATTAAGCTTAGACTCACAATCAATCATACCAAATTCATCTATAGGAAATATGCATCTGTAGTTAATATTGATGACGGGACTCTACTGAAAATCGCCCAGCAGAAAACTGCCCAGCAGAAAACTGCCCAGCAGAAAACTGCCCAGCAGAAAACTGCCAATAGGTGCCTCGGTGCACTGGTAGTTGTTCTCTAGAAATTTTAACTTGTCAGTGTTCCTATTAACAAAGATTTTAATACACTAATGGTAACAGATAGTAAATACATAACAAAATAGGAATTATATAAAATTTATTTTAAAACTGCCAGCATCCCCACTTTAATGACCCCTACTATATTCACTAATTAATTCGCAGGTGGAGATGCTTCGATATTTCCCAAGGGAGAAGACTCAACAATGATTATTAACAATGCGAAAAGGAAAAATGTCGACTTGAACGACCAAGACTGTCCATCTAGTAAATACCTTTGCGTGGAAGAACTAGGACAACAGGTTGAAGATCAATGCCAAAATGAACGTAATTTTTGTGAAAACGTCCAGGATTCTGACTTACAAAATCAAAATATCGGGACCGGTTCAGATATTCACAGAACCGGTGCAAAGTGCGTTCCTGATGGTCTGCAAGATGCACATGATCTTGGCTCGTACTATCACAATGTTGGTATTTTACGAACTAAGCCAGGCAGAGGTAACCCCACACTGTCAATGTCGTGTAGTGATAAAATAATGAAATGGTGCGTATTAGGTAAGGTGAATACTAGGTTGGTTTTATGCTAATGTTTTGCATTTTCAAAAACAGTAGTTCAACGTTCAAACATCAATAGCGCAGTCAATATTTAATTTAATTTAATTTAATTTAATTGCTTTTCCATCATTGTGTGATATAGACATAAACACATACGCACCCACACAAACGCAAACACAAACACAAATACGAACACACTAAACTGATGGCTGGGTAACCACAACAGCCTGAAAAGCCAATTACTGTGGGCCCAAAAGATTAAAACACAAACATATATACAATTAAAACGCCTAAAAACAGCAGTTCACTGGTTCGGTTAACGTTCTTGCACTGTTGCATTTCGGGCAGATAGTTTTAAATGTTCTTGGATCATCACATTCGTACGCTTTCTACAATGCGGCAAAATAATATCTTTGCATTACTGACTTAAACGTGCCCAGGTTTTCCATACTTATGCCTAACGTGTCCGTTAAAGTGTTCCAAGTTCTGATTGTTCTAATCCAAAAAGATTTTTGGAAAGTCGTTGTTCTGCATTGCGGTACTTCGTACTTCGCTGTATTGGTGTTGTTAGAAGCTCTTGTGTTCAGTCTCGTTTTCTTACGTAAAACAAAGGACGAATTTGTTAAGCCGTGTATTACTTTGAAAAAGTACACCATATCAAGATACTCGTGCCAATAGCATATTGGAAGTAGTTGGAGAGCCTGCAGTCTGGATACTGGATAATATTGCATGTAAATTCAAGTCCAAGTTAGTTCTTTCTGAATAATGATCTTTATTTTATTGCGATAGCTTTCATAGCTTTTACGTTACATGAAATCAAACGGTGTCCAGCTTTTTGGGGGACATCCGGTAGAGAGGTTCAGATTTCCACTACCATTAAAGGTGGAGTAATACGAGCAACAAAATTGCTGCAACTTGCAACAAAATCTGATTTCAACGCATGTTAAGTAGAAATGTTGACACATGTTGCCTCGTGATTTGTAATGTATGTGTGAACATTTTCAATTAACATGCGTTGAAATCAGATTCTGTTGCAAGTTGCAGCAATTTTGTTGCTCGTATTACTCCATATTAACCAATCAGATGCGTTTAATCTACAGGATTATCCAAACCCATAAACTATTGTATCCACCTATTCAGTGGAGAAGTTAGCCATGGCAACTGGTCATGCTATGCTAATAAACCTGCATCTAAGTACTGTACGTGAAAGAAAATGCATTTCTAAACGTTTGAATAATGCAAATCATCGAACGTGTTGCTATGGTTAGCTTCGCCACTTAACCTATTTGTTTAACCAATTCTAATGCGGAAAATAATATTATTCGAATAATATATTTGAATTGGAAGTGATAAGATATTCAAATGATGCGTGTTATTACAGTTCATCAATGTTTGGGCGAGGTGTACTACTAAATAATATTCGAATAATATATTTGAATTGGAAGTGATAAAATATTGAAATGATGCGTGTTATTACAGTTCATCAATGTTTGGGCGAGGTGTACTACTATTAAGCTTTCTATTTGAATTAGGTTGTCAAGGTGCGTTGATTTCACACTTTCTTGCGAAGCCAGTATATTTTTCATCCGTTGTACTCGGGAAATGTGCATACGACGCGTCAGCAATGAGACGAGCGGTGTCTGAGAGGGCTGGTGCCGTGAGTGTGCTCCCAGAGGAGTATGTGGTGACAGAACCCAGGCTTCTGCAAGGGGAAGTGGAATTTGAACATAGTAAAAGAAAGACAGAGGAAATGAATGGGGAAGGAAAAGGGGAAGATAAGAAATTAACAGCATCACCCTCAGGTATGGGCTTTGGGGGCGCAGTAATCAAAACAAGCGCCTTTCACCTCTGAGGCTTCTCGCTATGGACTCATGTGAAGTCAACGCTCTGCCGAAAGTCGTGGGTTTTCTCCGGGTGCTCCGATTTCCTCCCACAGGGAAAGTTGACAGGGTGGGTTACTACCATTTTCGAGCTTCCGTGAAGCGTGCATTTATAACTAGGTTTTAAAACGTTTCTTCAGCGTGAGTTTGTCATACAAAACTTTTCGTTTTGCTCCTAAAACATTTTGTTTTGACATAATAACTTCTGTGGGCGTGGTATAAAACATATTAGCGAGCTTAAGATCTACAACGCGAACTTACGACGCGGACGTGCTTAGCTAAGCCTAGTTTTCGAGTGTAAGCCTAGTCAGAGTTGTCACAGTTTATTTCTGCGAGATTTGTGACACTGTTAGGACACGTTAACAGCCATACGAAATGATAGAAACCAGGCTTTATAGACTATTGTTACGAATGCACATTTTCCCGCCAAAACTACCATCCGAGACGACGTGATATTTGCAAAGATTCGTCGTCATAGAAGTCGTAAAAACTTATGATAAAAAATATCTTCTTAATATATTGCTAGCCTCTGTTATGTTGTACATTTTTTCCAGTATAATTTCATTTTTTTTACTGTGATAAAAATATTTTAATGGTATTTGCCATCGTTTTAAAATAAAACTTGCTTAATGCGACGTCCGCGTCGTAAGTTCGCGTTGTAGATCTTAAGCTCGCTATTGTTTTGCACGCGAAACTTTGAATTTTGGCGTCAAAACTCAAAAGGACACTTGTATTATAGAGGTTTGGTTACGTAAACACATCCAGAAGGTGCTATAAATCTGTCATTCCGCTTTCTATAGCAATGTTGTCAGTATAAACGCGTCCGTATGAAAAATAAGAAGAAATTTTAGCGTGCAAAACAATGTGCTTGACACCACGTCCACAAAAGTTATTATGGCAAAACAAAAAGTTATGATTGACAAACTCATGCTGAAGAAACGTTTTGAAACGTAGTTATAAATGCACGCTTCACGGAAGCTCGAAAATGGTAGTAGGATAAACACAGTTAAGTTAGGATAAACACAGTTAAGTTAGGATAAACACAGTTAAGTTAGGATAAACACAGTTAAGTTAGGATAAACACAGTTAAGTTAGGATAAACACAGTTAAGTTAGGATAAACACAGTTAAGTTAGGATAAACACAGTTAAGGAATAATCTAGGCTAAGTATCTAATTAGGTAAGCGTACAATACTTGATGTAAAGCGCATTTGATCATACCCACATGTAAATTTGAGCTATAGAAATGTTAATCTTAATCTAGGACTGCTCTATAGATCGATTAATCCAGTATAAGTATAAAGCTACGGATACACGGGCAATACTTTTCTGGCGATGGCAATGCAATGGTGGTAAAGTCGTTGCATTGCCGTCGCGAGAGAGAAACTAGGGAGCTTTAGATTTGACTACGAGTACGACTACGAGTACGAGATTCGTCAAGCGAAAACGCATGCTGTATGCTTACGCCATCCCGTACTGACGCGAAAAAGTCGTAGCCGTCGCCCATCTGAGTACGAACTTGCGGATAAATCTCGTAGTCCTCACGACGACTTTTCAAAAAAACAAAGAAAGTTGACTTTTTTTTGTTTTCCAAAAATAATTTCTAGCATTTATATAGCGTTTATCCGGCGCAAATAATATATTAATACTAAATATCTGGCCTGTTTTTAATGTTATGACTTATTTTCACGTTTTGTAGGGGATTTTAGTCTGCAGGAGATTTAGTTTATGAAACTTTTTCTCTCGTTGTTGGTTTACTGCTATAAAAACAACATTTGAGTGAAAACGAAAACGACTACGGTAATTTCCTAGCACGCGATCAAATCTCGTACTCGTAGTCGTACTCGTAGTCAAATCTAAAGCTCCGTATTGATCGTGTATCATGCTCTGCGACGGCAACGCAAAGCTGCGCGCAATCGTTGCCGAAATTTCAAATCATTTGATTTTTGGCAATGATTGCCGAAAATTGGGAGGTGTGGTTTAGGAAGGTCAAGGTTGATGAATGACAGGTTTCTTGACCAGCCAATGAGAAGCGTTGTGAAGACATATATTGCAGGTGAAATATTGCAGGTGTAGCCACCTTGTGCGACGGCAACGCAATACTGTTATCAACCATTGCGTAACCATCGCAGCAAAAATATTGCTCGTGTATCCGAAGCTTAAGTATAAGTATAAGTAAAGTTAGTTTAGCTGAGTTTTCGTTGATGATATTAAGTACATTGTTTTCTATAGCTATAATAATGGTGAAGAACCCACTCTTACTTGAGATTTCCGTGAATGGTTTAAAACAAGGGGTAACGAAAGCCAACAGAAACTCACAGAAATCAAGGTGAGTTCTTCCTCACACTACACACACACCAAACAGTTCTGGATTCACTCCGAGCACTTCGGTTTCCTTCTGATTTCTTTCCCAATGTTAATGAGAATGACCGTTCCTGGACGTCTAAGACTCTAGGCAGCTCAGTTACTTTAGAGCTGACACCTCTATCCAGCGCAAATAAAGTTAGTTTAGGTTTCCTTCTGAAGCACCACTATTAGGGATGATCCTTACTGGACCTCTGGGGAAAAGTAATGGTTTCATTTTGTCTTATTTGCTTTAATGACGTGAAGTGTCAACCATACAGATATTATAAGAGGTGTATTAAATGGTTTCTTTGTAAAGAAGCCAGTTTCAATTCCATTAGTCACATATTACTCAAACTATCTAGATTACAGTTGTCTATAGAATATAAGTCAAACTTATATTCTTTGTAAACGCAGTGAGGCAAATATTGGTCTATATGGCAGATCCTGACCTGACGGGTCGGAAGATACATGTTTATTATTTACAATATAAGCCTCTCCTGGCTTTCTTTAGCTTATAAATCTTAACAGTTTGACTTGTTTTAAAGTACACCAGTAAAGTGGATAGCTCTGTCGTCTGTCAATTCCAGTTCGCTGTAGGCCTGTAGCAACTTTCACTGAACAGTCTTAGTTTGTCTTTCATGTATTAAAATGTGAAAAATTCCCTTTTTAGTTTTTTAACCTTTGTGCAGAGCAAACACTTTACAGTTATCAGGAATGCCTGTGTATTTTATGGTGTATGAAGACTTGAGAATACATGCAAATTAACACCCGTATCGGCCTTATGAATAAAACATTTAATGCAAAATTACTTGTTGTGTTCGGCTTGTCCGCCATCTTGTCTTTTTCCAAATGCGCAGATCGTGTCTATTATTGACTGTTCTGAGTTTCGCCTAGATAGATGATTAGTATCTATTTGCACATTTTTGTCAAATGATACTATTCGTCTGTTTATCCCTGAGACTGTGTTGCATTGGTTTAATTGACCATTTGCGTAATAGACTAAATTTTGAACTAAACAAGTCTAGACAAATATTCCATCACAGCTTGAAGGAGCATCACAAAATTAGTAATATTTCAAAGTTTCGTTGCAAAATGTTGTAAAATGCGGAAAATATAGCCTTGCGAAATTTGCAATTTTCAGTCATTTTAGATTACAAACGGGAAATTGACAGCCCCAAACCCTTCGAGGCTGTCAATTTCCGGTTTGTAATCTAAAATGACTGAAAATTGCAAATTTCGCAAGGCTATATTTTCCGCATTTTTCAACATTTTGCAACGAAACTTTGGAATATTACTAATTTTGTGATGCTCTTTCAAGCTGTAATGAAATTTTTGTTGAGATCAAAATTTAGTCTATTACGCAAATGGTCAATTAGCGGCCCCAAAAGGGCCACAAAAATTAATTCTAGCTTAAAATTAAGCTACTCAAACAGAACTATTCCAACCACAACAAACACAGCTCTGTTCGAGCATATAAACGTTTGCAATATATCGTTCAAAAACGTTTCTGTTTATTACGGTGCATTAAAATGTGCGCATGCGTGTTTTAACTTTTCGCCTAGATGTCCAGGCAAGATGGCCGACAAAGAAACTTGCTACAATAAAGTGCTCGCTCTAACTCGTAGTTTCAGATTATTGAAGGAATGCCGATTTTAGATCTGTGCTACTGTTATTATCGAGCTAATTATGAGCGAGATTATGAATCTTAACTTCCGGCAACGATTGCCGAAAATATCAAATTATAACTGATTGTATTTAGTCAGCCAGCCAGCCAGCCAGCCAATGGAAATCGCTTTACCGTTGACAAGTACGTGGACTTGCTAGTGATAAATACTCCGGGGGCGTGGCTAATCCAGTGGACTATAGTAAAAAATAGCTTATAGTAGAAAGGTTTAGATTTTACTTCCACTACCGCTACTACTACATTTCACTGGCTTAGCGCGCATCTGATTGGTTACTAGGGTAGTTCAAATTCATCTGATTGGTTACTAGGGTAGTTCAAATTCATCTGATTGGTTAATCGGATAATTCAATTTTATCTGATTGATACATATTATACTCTAATTGGACCAGACTTGAATGAAGGTCAGGAACTAAAATGGAAGGAAGGAAGAAACTAATATGAATAATTCGGGTCATTTTAGATTATGTATATGTAAAGCAGAATTTTTTAACCAATTTAAAAAGATTCTGGCATTGGTTCCGAACCATCAACTCAACTCCAGGTACTGTTTCTCCCAGATACACAAAAAACACTTTTATTATATAACCAGGTTATTTTTTGGGATTTGCATCTTAAATAATTTTCTTCTAGCCCCACGACTGCAAGAACATACAAACAGTTCAAGAACGAAGCAGTTCAGTATAATAAAGGCAAAGAACAATTTCGTGCAGTCTTCAATACTTGGATGGAAAAACCAACTCATTTGGAAGAATTCACTTGAAAACTCGTAACATGGTAGGTTCCAAATTTTACTATTACCACAATGATTAAAACGCTGGTCAAACGAGGATGAGAGATGGCAGCGAGAATTTGTGTGAGAGTTTTGTCATGTCTGGTCCAATGAGAGTTTTGTCATGTCTGGTCCAATGAGAGTTGACTGGTCAAACAGGAACGAGAAATGATGAAACTTTTGCAAAATTTACTTTGTTTACAAAAGTTATATTAGGCCACTACAAGTTAATCTTTAGTTTCTGGTCCGCCGCCCGCATCCTTCCTCCATAAAGTATTATTTCAGGACTATTTTGTTGTTTACAATTAATTTCTAGTTGTTGAAAATTTTCGCGAAGGATTTAACTTGTAGAACGATAAATATTCAATTTACACTAAAAAGACCTAGCAAAACTGTAGTATTGAATGGTAAAAACCGCTGCCTTATCGAGATTACGAGGTAAAAAAACTAGAAATATTAATACATCATTTTGATATGTAAAATCCTTTGTAGTCTGTCATACATGTTGATTTATAAATAATATAAATGCAATTTATGTAAAATTTCATAACATTTTGATACAATTAGCATGAAAAGGGACAAGAAAGACCACAAAAATGTGGGCAAAGCCACAATTGTAATTATGTCCAAAAGTCCTAACCACCCGCCCGCCCGCGTCGTAAACGAAGTTAAGGCCGGACCAGAAACTAAAGATTAACTTGTAGTGGCCTTATGCATAGATTGCTAATTTGTCCTCCAGATGCATCGTCACCGGCGCTGTGACGTCATGTGCAAAGGGTATATACATATATGTATACAAGAGGAATCGTCAGGTGGCTGATAAATTTGTCAGCCACCTAATGATTCCTCTTGGATGAAACAGGCTGTAGTGGCAACCTTTTGAGGTAAACAACTACATATGTATATCATATGGAGTACTCTTTGGCATTTCGTGAACCAAAACACACTCATGTGTATATGTATGTGTATATATCTCGTATATATACAGCTAATTCAAAAAAGGTCCTTCAAAACTTTAAACCTTAAACTCTAAGCGCGAAAAGGGTAATGGGAACATTCCAAGGTGTGCTGCATCAGTCCTCTGGCATCAGTCGGAAAGACTTAACTGTCATAATCGTTGTGCATACAGCCAAGAATTTCTATGGACAGCGTTCCCATTGCACTTTTCGCGCTTAGAGTTTAAGTTAGAGTTTAAACTTAAGTTTAGAGTTTATCTCGTGTATGTATGATGATGGCAAAGTTATAATAAATAAATAACTCTCATACAAACTCGCTTGCCAATTCTCAGTCTGACCAGACCTTCATATAGAGTGCGATGGAGGCTATACTGAATGAAACCACTTCGCGTGTTTAATTAAAATACAAGTCCACGATGTGCAACCAAGTAAAAACAATATGATAATTAAATAATATAAAATATACATAGAATTCTGCATCGATACATTACGATCAAATTTTAAATTCTGCTTCAACTATTCCTAAACATTTGTTATTCTGGTTCCGTATATGACCAACAGCAAGAAAATAACCCTGAAAATAAAAAAATGAAACACCATTCGAATACAAGCATGAAACAAAAACACGCACGTGTGAATAAAAGAAAAATGCAAAGCTTGCAACATCCTACACACGTAAAAACGCACGAGTTGTAACAAACCTGCAGCAGACTTGTAGCAATGCTGTTCCAAAAACTTGTCAACAGGATGTGTTCGCACTGCTTGTTCCCAGCTTGTTGACAAGTTGTCAACGGCTTGTTTACAAGTTGCTACAAGGTTGTTGAGTTCAACAGACGTGTTACAAGTTGTTCCAACAACTTGTTATCGTCCTGCAATTCAACAAGTTGTGAGTGACAACCTTATAGCAACTTGATGAAATAACATCATTGTTACAACTTGTTGACAAGCTTGCTTCAAACCTGTTGCGAACACATCTTGTTGACAAGTTGTGAGATTTTTACGCGTGTAGGAAGCACTTGCACAAGTATACAGATCCTCATATTTGATGGTCAGGTTAAACATGACTGACTGACCGACAGACTGACCAACAGACTGACCAACCGACAGACATCAGACACACCGACAGACTGACCGACCGACCGACCGACCCACCAACTGACCAACCAACCAACAGACTGGCCGACAGACTGACTGACCGACCGACAGACTGACCAAACAACCGACAGACTGACCGACCAACCGACTTACACACAGACCAACCGACTTACACACAGACCAACCGACTTACACACAGACCAACCGACCGACAGACTGACCAATGAAACGACAGACCAACCAATCGACCGACCGACCGACCGGTCGACTGACTGGCTGACATGCATTTCAACCTACACTTGGTATATGACTTGGGAACTTTTTCTTCTCATGGACAGAAATTTTATCACCTGTAATGAGATTATTTGAGAAGTGTATAGTGTAGTTTTTGAGAAGTATACACTTGAATGAATCTAATATCAAGCTTGCTATACCTTTTCTCATGGGACATTTCAAACCTTTAACATGTAAGTCACGACAGACATCAAATGTTTCATTGAATAAAACACGGCCACGATATGAGGCGTATATGTTGGCTGTACCACGGACAAGATCGTCAGCTAAAATAAAACTTTTATTGTGAAAACTTGTAGGCATTGTTAATATACAAGCTATGAGTGAAGCCCCACTATTGTTTTCTTAGTTTCAACCTTTAACCCACATGTCTGGGCATGCTACAGTCACTATTTAATATACTTATTCTGAAGTACACGTAAAAAATGTGGTTGTCATATGTATATAATCTGCAAAATTTCTCACCTAGTGTAATATTCGCTGCAATAGTTGCATATATCCTCCTGTTTTCTGGATTATAACTTAGAATTGCTTTTCCAACTTTTACACGATCATTACTTTTTGAATCTAAAACACAATATTCTATTACAATTTACAACAAGCTTTCCATTTCCACGAGGGGTGCCCAAAGTGTTTATGCAATGTGTAAATTATTTTGCTAATTATATTGAAAATTATACAGGAAACTCGCATTGCCGAACAAGCTTTTTGTCGTACATTCGCAGACCTTATATATCAATTGCTAGAGTCTCTGCTCGCAGGGTAAACGGACAAAGCAAGGTCAAAGTTTTCAACAAATGCCTCATATGGGAAGAAATAATCATCTCAAATTCCCAATCAAAACAACACCGTCAACACGTACTTGTTTTAAATTTTTTTTTTTTTTATTTTTGCATAGTCCAAAACAACGAATGTGAATCCAATACATACACAAACATATTAAAAATATATAGCTTGCTATTAGTTAGCCGAAAAATTACTAGAAAAAATAACTGTGTTACGTGCAATAAAATGTTTACCATTATAATACACAGCTAGCCTAATATGATAGGTTGCTTCATGCGGGGTTTTGATAATATAAGTAAATCATACTGATTTTAGAAAAAATTTCCAAGCTAAACAAATGATTACTACACTAACCGCATATATCGTAAACGTCGCCAATCGATCTGTATCTATTCCTTTCAACCCAGCCATCCCAGTCGAAGTTTGATCGAGAGCTTTTCCCAGAGAATGCCCGGTGCACAGACTGTATATCTGAAAAGTCTACACGTAAATATTCTTTTGCGATGAGCACCAGACAAACTAGACCAAGAAAGACACACATACAAACGCGTTTCTTGTAACCAATGCCAAAAAAACGCGATTTCATGAGCGTAAACATGTTCGCGCATGAATAAATTGCGCTCAAAATATATATTATATATGACAATGATTGAATTCAGACTCCGGGTTCAATTACTGAACCGGAATTAGATTTTCCTTGGTTGCGTCAGAGGTCAATGTTTAGCAATTATTGCGCAGAGTCAAATTTCGTGGCATACTTCGAAACCCGGACTCGGACCCGGACTCGGACTCGAAGAAAATCCGGACTCGAAGAAAATCCGGACTCGAGAAAAACCCGGACCCGGACTCGAAGAAAATCCGGACTCGTGTTTAAGAAAACCCGGACTTGATTTCTGAAAACCCGGACTCGAAATAGACAAAACCGGATTCAAAACAAGGACTCTGTGCACAAGAATGCAAAGGTTTTATCGGTAATAACTCGCGGATAAATGGATTTGTGCTCTTGCACGGGTGCCCCTTTCTCTTCTCGCTTTTGTATATAATAAAATACTTTATTTCAAAAGCAATAAGCTTTGGTTTCGAAAGATATAGATATTTTCTTCTTCTAGTGACTCAGTGTTATGCGTTATCTGAGGATACCAATCAGTTATCAACTTATCATACTATATGGTTCCCAACAAAACAATCACTATATAGCCTACCTAAACAAATAATTTAGCCTTATACATATACTTACTTACTTACTTAATTTAAAAATTTATTTAACCACGCTGACCATACACAACATATTTGTAAAATACATGCTCCTGCGAGTAGCTAAATCTACCCTAGACATAAATTAATAACTGAAATCTGACTCAGCAAACTCAACGTGATCGATGGCGGCAAGGGTAAAATATATCCTCAACATATTCGACCTCACTATCGGCAAAATGACACGAAAAATAACTAGACTTCAACCAATCAAAAGTATAACTTCAACCAATCGAAAAGAACGCCGGAAAAGCACATCTCATGTTGAAGGCAATGAAGGTATCGCGGCAACCGCGCCTAAATACCGACTGTGAAGTAATTCGAGCGTTGTTGTGCGGATGGACATAAATTTGATATTGTAACATGCTCTCAAATAGTTGGACAAGACGCTACTGGAAACACGTTTATTTTCTCTATTTCGTTAATATAAAGTCCATAAACACGAATTGAACACTCGCAATTATTCTTTATCCGAAAGTAGTAGAAAACACATCACAATGAAAGCAACAGCTGCAAGCCTGCACCCGCGGCCGACAGTGAAATTCGCGTTGGATGGTTGGCGTAAATTTGATATTGAGCAGTCTCTCGTTAGGCAATGCGTTCATCAATTGCCCCATATGCCTTGCATACAACCGCGGCTCGATACTGACAATAAAGTTTGACAATAAATCAAGTTAACGTTATTTTGAGAATCAACAATCAACATGCTACCCTCGTACTAGCTACTAATCAGTAGATCGTTGTGCATCAATACATTTTAGTTTTTAATAACTTATAAGTGCCAAAATTATTTGGTTCCAGTATATCTAAGTGATTATTTTGTTAACAGCAGAAGATTAAAAATATCGAGAAAAAGACATAAAGAGATCATCGTTTATCATGTTACGAATTATTAAACCTTTCCAAAAAACCTTTGCATTTTCGTACACAGAGTCCTTGATTTGAATCCGGTTTTGCCTTATTTCGAGTCCGGGTTTTCAAAAGTCAAGTCCGGGTTTTGTTAAACACGAGTCCGGATTTTCTTCGAGTCCGGGTCCGGGTTTTTCTCGAGTCCGGATTTTCTTCGAGTCCGGGTCCGAGTCCGAGTCCGAGTCCGGTCCGGGTTTCGAAGTATGCCAAATTTCGTGGAGACTAGGGTAACGCATTTTTTTCACAGCTGAGCGACGATTGTTTCCCTGGGAGAACCGGAAACACGTGCATCTATTTATGTAATCACACGCTTTATAATAATAATAATAATAATCTTTATTCATCAAAATACCAATACAGGCACATATGAAATTACATACAATAAAAGATACAAAGCGTATCTATATGTGATAGTTGTTATAAGATATAAGATTATAAAAAGTGCATTAACATTTTTTATATCATGAATGAAGATATGCATGATTACATAATGCACTGATTATCATATAATAGAAGAATATCATGAAAATATTTTGCTACTATTTTCATGATAGACTTATCATGTATATTAAAAATATAAAAGAATAAATTATTTGTACCAAATAGGCGGAAAGAACTATTGATACCATATAACTCGTTTAAAAAAATATTTCGAGTTTCTGAAATTTTTTGGTTGGAGCATGATAATAAGTAGTGAAATTCATCTCCAATTTCACTCGATTGACATAAGGTACAAAACCGATCTTCGTATGGTGTTTTGGTATATGATCACGATGTAATCACATGCTTTGCATGTGTGAGTACCATGATCGATCACGCCCGCAGCGCTCCCGCTCAATTTTCAACCCGCTAACTTTTACATGTTTGACTAAAATATTAATGATACCAAACTTTATCTCTGAGGATGGTCCTGAAATAGAATTGGATGATCAATAACCATCTGATTTATCGAGTTTGCGCTATCCAAAAGATAATGCTTGTGATGTTACTCTGAGTGTATATCCATTATCCACACCGGGCAAGCCCGAAAAATATGCCTGACCACGGTGGGAATTGAACCTATACGACCTTTGGAAAACTAGCCCAATGCTCTACCAACTGAGCTACGCGGTCAGGTCGGTTCGAGTATGTGATATTTCGGAACTGAGTCCAACACAGAGAAAAAAAATATCCAAAAGATATTTTTGGAGAAAAAGTTGTTGTTAAAAATGTAATCCTCCCCGGCGGGGAATCGAACCCCGGTCTCCCGCGTGACAGGCGGGGATACTCACCACTATACTACCGAGGATTTCTGAAGGTCAAGGTCAATAATGTACGGACAGATTAAATTCTATGCGACCCGCAATATTTATTCACTATATTTTATCCTAATTTGAATTAACTAAGCTTCCCTAAGCTCTAGACATCTATATCATTTGTCATAAAATGTTTTCATAAAATCTAGTATTCTTAGCTTGTTGCAGTCCTCAATAGGATCGCCCGTACCTGCAAACGGGCATTCGTGGTCGCTCGGTAAAGAGATCTGGGGACGACATATTCACATATTCAATTTTTTTTTGTCTCCTAATTTTTACTCGTAATAGTGTATTTCTTTCATTGTATGTACATAAATGAAAAGACATTTGGTTGACTTCGAGAAAAAAAATATTGATCAAATTTAGGAAGAAAACTAGATGTTAAAAAAAATAAAAATGTATTCCTCCCCGGCGGGGAATCGAACCCCGGTCTCCCGCGTGACAGGCGGGGATACTCACCACTATACTACCGAGGATTACGAAGAAAGCATCTATTGTTGCAGTATAAATATCTTGCTTCGCTAAAGCTATACAATATGCTAAATTGTTAGTAAATCGGATCACAGATACTATAAACTAGAGGGTAACTATGATAGGGTAACTATGATGGGGTATATCCATAGATATAGTATCGCGAGTCCGTGATTCACTCAATTTCTAGACCCTCTAACTAGAATACTAGATCAGTCGGATCACAGATACTGGCTCATTTTATTACTTACAACATTTCGGAATATATCTCCATTTTCAGGTTTAAAAATAAACTTTTTTAACAAAATTCCACTAGCTAGTGCAAGTAGAAATTTGCGCTCGCGTATAACTTACGCAGATTACCCCTATTAGAGACAGTAAAATTTTGTTATATGTAATATGGCCAACAACTACCGATGTTAACGATATTTTTACATATATTTTGGTCTTCAAAGTATGATTCTCTTTTGCAGTTTGAATAATTTAGCCTGAAAATTCACTCGTTCGTTCAGTCTTCTAGAAGAAACACACTGGTCACTGCTTCCTGTCCCTGGCTATCATCGCCTTCATCGGTAACATGGCGTCCAAAGGCAAAGCCAGTTTATCGCAATCGAGCGCAAAGTTCGACTATGTTGATGATAGTGGTGATTGTCCAACTATGAGACAGAGTTCTTTGGTATTTCTGGCTTGTCTTTGTATAGTTGTGCGAGTTGTTTGTCACGATCGTTGAGACAACCTGAAATATGGGAGACCCGCACTGTAACTAATCAGAGACTAATATGTTTTGTACTCAAAATGTAGTGGGCAATGAAGGAGAAAGACAGAGGTAAGAATGTTACAGTGGCTACAAGGAATACCACTCCGAGAGAACATCTTACAAATGAGGAGGTTGGAAGAAGAGCTGGAATGGAAAGTATGGTCAAGAAAGTAGAAGTAAGAATGAGATGGTTTAGAGATTTCATTAGAAATGAATGAACGAAAATTTGATGGATTTAAGTAATATCATTCCGAGAACATCTTATAAACGAGGAGGTTGGAAAAAGAGCTGGAATGGAAAGCATAGTCAAGAAAATAGAAGTAAGAATGAGATGGTTTGGGGATTTTATTAGAAATGAATGATAAAAAATTTATGGATTCAAGAAATGTCACTCCGAAAATATCTTACAAACGAGGAGGTTAAAAGAACTCAAAGCAAGAATGGTTTGGACATTTGATTAGAAATGAATGACTCCGTTCATACAAACGAGGAGGTTAAAAGAACAGCTGCAATAGAAAGCATAGTCACAACTGAGTAGAGGCAAGAATGAGATGATTTGGAGATTTTTATTAGAATAGATAATATAGAAAATTTGCTACGAGAACATGGAAGGAATCTGCAAGAGGCCGCAAGAGGGGAATGATTTAGATGAATACAAAAGGGTACGATGGGGGTGATGGAATGAAGAAGATTACCTAAAAAGCTGTTGGTGGGATAAGCAGGAGACGGCACACAGTCCGCTTCAGTAATATCATCTGCAGCCACGGGTCCGTCGTGCCAGACCAGGTCGAAATTTCCGACTCGTTTTTCTTTACCAGTTAGTCTAAATTGAAAAAGAGAAGTATATCATCCTTATAGCAAGTCATAGTAA